TCTTACCTCCTACAGCATGGATGGGCCTAGAGAGTATTATGTGAAGTAAAATAAGGCAGACAGAGAAAGACAAATGCCATATGATTTCACTTATATAAGTGGAATCTAAAAAACAAAATAAATGAACCAACAAACTCATAGATACAGAGAGGAGTTGGGAGATGGGTGAAAGGGGGCAGGGATTAAGACGTGCAGATTGCCAGCTATAAAGAGTCTCAGGGATGTGAAGCACAGCAGAGGGAATTAGTTAATAATATTGTAATAACTGGATGGTGTCAGGTGGGTACTAGACTTAGCAGGGGGATCATTTCGTAAGTTATATAAATGTCTAACTGCTATGTTACATACCCGAAACTAATATAAAGTATGTTAACTGTAACTGAAAAATAAAAAAATACTTTAAAATATTTTAAAATTAATTAATTAACCAACTAACCACAGTCCTGTGTCAGGTAAGAGCTTTTTACTTGCAAAAAAAGTCACATGAAGATTTAGGTCAAAAACTGTTCACTGAAACTTTATAATAGTAAAAAACAACAAACAACCTACATGTTCGTTAACGGGAGTAATGGAATTATGGTATATCCAAAAGGTGAAATAGTATATAGTTGTTAAAAGTTATGTTTTCATGAACTAACAAGCAAAATAGAGACACACTCATAGATAAAGAGCAGGCTGACAGCTCACTGGGGGGGGGGGNAACAAAGGCATGTGGCTGTCTTCCAACACAGTTTTATTTCCAAAAACAATCTGCTGATTCCTGCTCTAAAGGCCCGAATGAAGAGAAAATCCTTTGGATGACAGGTCATTATGAAAATTCTCTAAACACAAAGAAATAAGATTCCGCCAATGAGAAGCCACAAGGGAAAAAAAGACTCAGACCCTCAAAAGGTGTAAGATTTTGGAATTGTTGGGAAAAATACAAACCCAATAAGCATAAGATGCTTCAAAGCTTACTTAAGAGTAAGCACATTTGTAAAAGGATCAAATATAATTCATATAAATGAGAAAAATAAAAACAAATTAAAAACTCAATGAAGAGATGTAACAGCAGATTAGATAGAGCTAAAGAGAGAATTCATGAAATGGTAAAACTGAAGATTTAAGTCTAGAGAAGCAAAGAAATGGAGGTGGGCAGTGGGGGGATTGAGCAACAAAGGGAAAAATAAAAGAGAACTCTTGGAAATATGATTGGGGGGAGAAGGGGGAGGTGGAAGAGGGTATGGGGGGATAAATGGTGATGGAAAAAAATAAAATTTAAAAAATAAAAGTAATGTTTTCAGATACTATCTTTTAAAAGGAAAATGTTCATGTAATATGAAATAAAGAGCAAACTACAGAACCAAATAAACTATGACCAGAATTTTAAGAATGTTAAAACTTACTATGCAAACAAAGTCTGCATATACAGGGTAGGGCAAAAGTGAGTTTACAGTTGTGAGTACACGAAACAGTTTACTCTTGTATTATTATGTATTATTTATCACCACCATCCGTACAAACAACTGTAAGCCTGCTTTTGCCCCACCCTGTATAATTTGAAGGAAGTGAACCGAGAACTGGACAGTTTACCCCAGATGCTGAGGTTTCGGAGGTTTTTATTGTGTTCTCTCTGCTTTTCCACACTTCCCAATAGTTCTATAATGAAGATGTGTTATTTTTTTTTATCAAGGGAAAATGCGTTTTAGGAAAAGGGTCCTAATGTTGGCGATTCTAGAAACACACCTGTGTCCGTATCATTCCGGCTCTGTCCTGCGTGTGCTTTGCGGGTCCGAGAAGCTCTCATGTTCTCAAGTGAGCGGGAGAGCAAAGGCACAGGCGTGATTTCTTCAGCGTGCGGCGCCTGCGGATTCGATCGACAGGTTGATGTTCCCAGCTTCCAAGGCCCAGCATACCTACCGCCTATGAATGAAGCTTTTGCTGATGACACCAACCTTCACCCCAAGGCAGATACCCCATATTTACACTGTTTCAGCGTCTACCAGGCTTTGTTTTAAAAAGAGAAGAGAAAAACCCCACGTGTCTTCCTCCTCCGCTGGCCACACGGCGCGCCTGTCCCTTGGAAGGCAGAGGGGTGGCCATTTCGTATTCTTAGTGCCCAGGCAGACCTTTGCTCCTCGGTAACTGGCTAAATGTCTTGAACAAATGTACACTAGAACCCCCGCAATATAAAGATTTTTCAGAAGGGCTGTGTAATGTATTTGTCTTAAAATGTCAGTTGATAGTTTAAAACAAGTGTTCTCACTGGCCCACCCTAAAACATAACAGTCTTTGAAGAGCACCAGCGACAGGAAAGCAGCCTGTTCAGCGCACTCTACGTTTCTTTTGATGGTCTGGGGCTCTTTTCACAGTAGAGCCGTGTGTGTGCGTGTAAATTGATGTGGCCATTTTAGAAGGGCAGTTGGGCAATATCTGTCCACTGGAAAATGCACATAACCTTTGTACTTCCAGGCATTTACTCTCCAAATAAACTTGCACAGAGTAGGCAAACATGCGGACAGATGGCCTTGTTAGAGCACCGTTGGTCACATTTCTCACTAGGAGAGGGACTGGGGCACTGCAGTCCTTGAGAACAAGATTGGCCTGTCTGTATTTCGCACCATGGTGGTGATGTTCTCCGTGTATGTGCGTATTGCATGCCAGGCGCTATACCATGCGAGATCTCACACAGTGTTTAATAATTCTCACAATAGCTATACGGCTGGTACTATTATGATGGCAGGTGTTAGTATCTATTATTTTGCAGTTGAGGCCTGAGGCACAGAAATGAAATAACTTGCGCAAGGTCACACAGCTAGTAAGGGGCAGACCTGGTATTGAAATCCAGGCCGCCTGAGGTTCAAGCAGCCTGCACTGTGAACCTCTGAAATGCATAGTATCTTTTCTATCGACGGAGAAAGGTCAAGATACAGGGTCCTTGGCTTACGGAGGGTTGACTTACAGTTTCTTACGACGTAGAGAAGCATTACGCAGTCAGCAGCAACTGGCTGGGCCAGGCTGTGGTATTCCATAGGTTATCATGTGCATTAAGTGCATTTGCGACTTACGGTGTTTTCAGCACACAATGGGTTTATCCGTGCGTAACCCTGTCATAAGTCAAGGAGCGTCTGTTAGATATAAAGAAGCGGTTCAGAACTGAATGTAGAGTATGCCGTCATTTGTGTTTTAATTTTTTTAAAAAGCAACAGCACAAACTGGAAAGATACAAAAGAAACATAACAGTGCTTCTTAAAAGGAGGAAATGGGTGGCCTTTAATCTTTTGCTTGTGTTTTAATAATAGGCGTATATTATATAAAATTTTTTAATCCTTACTGAGGATATTCTTTCTGTTGCTTTTCAGAGAGAGTGGGGGGGGGAGAGACATCGATGTGAGAGAGACACATCCATTGGTTGCCTCCTGCACGTGCCCCAACTGGGCCAGGGATCAAGCCTGCAACTGAGGTATGTGCCCTTGGCCGGAATCGAACCCAGGACCCTTCAGTCCAAGGGTTGATGCTCCAACCACTGAGCCAAACTGGCTAGGGCTATTATATAAATTTTTAACTAAAATAAGTGTATCTGATATTTTGAAGAGTTATGATACTGAAAACTAAGCTGAAGTCATGAGGCTCGAATGCTTTATCCCTCCCCTTTTACATACCTCAGTATAGGGTTTCCCTTCTTCTAACATCCTGCCACCAGCTCTCAGTCCAAGATAGCAGCTCTCTTCGGAATTCACTTCCTCTGGGGTTCATTGTTTACCTGACCCCACTTTGAATACTTAAGTTTTTGATTGACATAGCACCTTAATCTTCTATTGTTTCCCAAAGGATTTGAGACTGCTTATTTTAAGATAAGATTCCATAGGCTAATAGAGTTCTATACAGTTGAGCAGTAAGATTAACTTTTAGTTTCCTAGAATTAGGCCAAAAACATTTTTTTCCTGAATTCTGTATTTCCTGTGATTTGACAAAAGGACACATACCATTTTGTTTTTCTTTAAAAAAAAATAATAATAATAACAGGCTTTGTTTTATAGGCTCTTTTATGCAGTTGATTCCTCTCTGGTTGTTTCTTGGTGGTGGTTTTCTCTACCCGACTAAATTATAAGCTTCCTTAGGACAAATTCCATTTTCTTTCTTTTTTTTAAATTTTATTGATTGATTTTGAGAGAGAGAGAAATGTCAATTTGCTGTTCCACTTATATGTGCATTCATTGGTTGATTCTTGTATGTGTGCTGACCGGGGATCGAACCTGCAACCTTGGACAACATTGTAATCTGCTGAGCTACCTGGACAGGGCAAATTCCACTTTCTGTACTTTTTTTGTTTCATTCCTGCCTAGAAAATACTCACTTATTATTATGGTTGAAATTATAAATTAAGTAGCAACTGCAACCCTGCTGCATTTCAAAGATTATGTTACTGCCGCTTTTCAGACTTAATCTTTGAGCAGTTGGGAAATAAGTATTTTTGTCCCCCTCAGCAGGGTATCTTCTGGTAGCTCTCAAAAAAATTTTTTTTTTAATTTATTTCTTAGTGTGGAGCTTTTACTGAGTTGTTTTTTTTTTTTTTAAAGATATGTCTTTATTGATTTCAGAGAGAAGAAGGGAGAGGGAGAGAGAGAGAAACATCAATGATGAGAGAAGCATTGACCGGCTGCCTCCTGCACGCCCCTCCTGGGTTGGAGCCCGCAACCTGGGCATGTGCCCTGGCCGGGAATCGAACCGCGATCTCCTGGATCCTAGGCCGACTCTCAACTGCTGAGCCACGCTGGCCGGGCTCCTGAGTTCTTTTGTAACCCTTCCTACCTGAGTGTGTAGTGTAAAGAGTTGGAAATTTGTCTCAACTTTTGTTGTTTATGACAGTTAAATCTTTTAAAATATGGCTATAGCTTTTGTTAAAAAAGAGACAGTTCGTCCAAAATGGAGTCACTTGTGCTAAGCCCCACATGAGCAAACCAAGACTTAGTACCTAACATAATTGCAGTTTCAGCCTCTCACCTTTTTCTTTCTCTTAGGCCAAGTTATCAAGGCATGGGACATTGGGGTGGCCACCATGAAGAAAGGAGAGATGTGCCACTTACTGTGCAAACCAGAGTATGCATATGGCTCGGCTGGCAGTGTCCCCAAAATTCCCTCGAATGCAACTCTCTTTTTTGAGGCAAGTATGTGTGTGATGCTCCCTTGTTAGCATCTGCTCCGCTCTGGTGCTGGTTCTGAAGCAGCAGGCAGTGGGAAGAGGAGCTGAACTCACTGTTGAGATTAAGATCCAATTTATTTATTTTGGAGCTCGGCTTCTTGAATTGTTTTCCACAGACCCAAGGGGTGTGTGCCAGTGCTTTCTTAGAAACGTGTCTCTGGCACAGAAAGGTCGTATCCAAATAAACAAGTGGCCAGGCTTAGGAATAAAGGTTCTGGTCGGTGGCGTGCGTATGACATATTAAAACTGGCCAGAGGACAGGATGGAAATGTGGGAAATAAATGTTGAAATATGCCTAAATCAAGTTTTAAGGTATTTCCATGTTATAAAGGTTTATAAATGTCACAGATCTCATTAGACACAGTAGGGGAGATAGTATGTTATTCATCGTGTGTTGAATTACACATATTTGGCCAAACCTGATTCTAAAATTGAGGGGGGGAATACCTGAAACAGCGTAACTGGGGAAAATCCGCCCGTAAGTGATTACAGGCCTGATTTCATAGGATTTATTCTTACATTTTAAGAAGGGAATGCCATGAACCTGGGATGGAAAAGTGGTGGTGTCTCAAGTCAGACAAAATAGTTTGGGGCCAGCACTTTGTAGCTCTGGCTTTTTGCCCACCAGCAGTTCCCGTGTTTCCTGTCTGTCTGTGCCACGCTCCCCGCAGGATGCGGGCCCAGGCGTCTGCAGTACTGGAAGGTTCTTTCCAGGTTCCGAACAGTGCCGCGCTCTCGTCTTCCTACCCTCTAATGACTGAGACGCATAGATAAATATAAAGCAGGGCTTTATCTTGTAAAATGAAAAGGGGAATCAGTTGTCCTTGCCCTTAAGTACGTTAAATTGGCTTTGTTTGATCTTTTCTCAGCCAAGTCTCTTTTTCCTTTCCAGATTGAGCTCCTGGATTTCAAAGGAGAGGATTTGTTTGAAGATGGAGGCATTATCCGGAGAATCAAAAGGAAAGGGGAAGGCTATTCATACCCAAACGAAGGAGCCACAGTAGAAGGTAAGCGCTGAAGCTAGAGCCAACGAGCCTTTAAGAGTTGGGTTCCATTTATGTGGATGAAATGGAGATTTCTTTTTAAAAAGCTTGTTTATAGAAATAAATATATTGACTATATATCAAGAATAGCTTTAAATTTAACACTTATTTAGTAACGATTTCATTTAGTAAATATTTACTCACCATGTGCGTGCCAGGTACTGTGCCAGCCTCTGCCAAGTCACAAAATGAACAGAATATCCCGTCCACCAGGGAGTTCTTACTGCATGAACTCTCTGGTGTGCCAACAGCTGTATTAGTGGCTGTACGTAGCTATTCATTTATTTCTCACAATAACCTTAGACGGTAAGATTTATTATCCCAAGACGAGAAAAGCGAGTTTAGAGAAGTTATATAAATTGCTAGTTCTGGAGTTACTAAACAGAGCAGTAGATTACAGTGCCCTTCAGGCCTCTGAAACCCATCTCACTGGCTGTGATCAAGATAAAAAAAAAACAAAAACCAGTTTATCATTTTCACTCAATCAGAATTGGATGATAGTGTTTGTTCTGTTCTATGTCAAGAGACCTGGGTTCAAGGTCTGCTTTGCCATTTATGGAGGGACCTGAGGCTCTTCCACTTTTTCATTGGCCGATTTGGGAGCGAGGACACTGCTGGTCTTGGCTGACTGAGCCTTCCTCCTCCCAGAGCACATCGGGCCCACCCCTGGGTGCGCTGCTTGTCAACTTGGTAATCAGCGTTTGCGGTTTCCCCAGTTCACAGTGAGCGCTTGGGGGCTAGAAGCTTCTTCATCCCTTGGTTTCCAGCATCGCCCACAGTGCCTTACACACACTTGGTGCTCGTTAAATGCTTTCTGCGTGGATACGTGCTGGACAGATGCCACTTAACTGAGCTGAAGTACTTCAAAAAGGAGTTGTGAGAGGACAGAGGACTATTTCCATTAAGGAAAAAAAGCCACTAAACAAAGGTGGCAACGTGAACGGTTATAAAAGGCATTTTCACTGGAAAATAAAGAGTTCATTTAAAGCTGTAAACTAGAATAGTTGATTTTTTTATCTCTAATGTTGTATATACTACTTTGGACCCATATTTCATTTTTATGAGTCTGGCAAATTAGTCCGAATTAGTAGTTTTAAAATTGGAACTGGTTATAAATGGTTATAAACGACTGTACTGTTGCAGTTGAAGTGCTTAGGTGGTTATCATTTACAGTACGTTTAGAATAAATAAAGAAGAGCTTGGGTGTGGAATGTGGGAGAAACACCTAGACCAGGAGTCGGGAGGTGGGGACCTGGCTCCCTCCGGCTGCGTCCGGGCCTCGCCTCTGAGCGTTGGCTGCCCTCAGACGCGGTGACGCAGGCAGGGTAGGCCTCTTGGTGTCTAGGGCCCCGCTGCCCTGACCATGCTGCGATGGGATTCTAATGTTTATGAGCTACAGGAATGAAAGAAAATTCTCTTCAGTGTATTAACAAGTGCTGTTCAGTGTGCTTTTTCTTACCTCAATTAAGATGACCGTCTTGTAATTTTTATTCAGTGTTGTCCCTTTTTCATTTAAAAAAGTCACCATGTTCTAAAGTATTCTAATGGACATTACGATGACGGTTAGTCGTGGCACTTTAGTTTCATGCCAGTAGGGGCTGCATTGTTACTTTTAAGCTTTGCCTTCACAGAAAATCCAATCTGACTGACATAAGGCTCTGAAGAGCCAGCAGCTCCTCTTCCCCCAGCTCCAGGCCTCGGGCCTCGCACATGCTCTGCTTTGTTAAATTCACTGCTTGTAGCCAGTCCATCGGGGTGCTGGCTGGATGTGGCTCCCTTGCCTCTTGCCTCACAGTGCTCTCAGCCACATTTGCATGCAAAGAACGCAGGCAACTGGCGGCAGTTTCCAAATGCGGGAATTTCAAGAGTGATCCTCTGGATGCAGATTGTGGGAGTACCCTTTCCTCTCACCTCCTTTCCCTTTCCAAATCCCACTGACGTGCAAGATAGAGGGAATGATTGCCAAACAGAGGAAGAAGTCCATATTAGTGCTGGAAGTCAGGGGGAATGCAGGAAGTGGATCAGCAATTATGAAAAATTTCTGGAATATGTAAACTAGATGAAATTGGACTGATGTAAACTAGACTCAGGAAACCCAGCCCAAAACAGGTGTAGAGAAGACCTCTGCAGAGGTACACACCGTCCTCAGCAAGTGTGGGCAGAACTCCAAGCTCACAGGCAGCTGGCGCGAGGGAGCCAAAGCAGGCTGTGGGGCAATCCTCAGGGTTGTTATAAAACAATATGGGACAGCTGGGCCAGTAAACCTCTAGTGTAGTAGTTCTCAACTTTGGCTGAATTTAGAATCACCTGGGGAGCTTTTAAAATCCTGATGCCCGGGCTTCAGCCCAGACCAGTTAAAACAAAAGTCTCAAACCTCAAAAGATGGAACTCTCAGGCACAAGAGTGTTATGTTGTTGTGTTTTAAACTCCCCTGCATGATTCTAGTTTGCAGCCAAGGATTGAGAATTACTACCCTAGGGTCTGACTGTGACTTTTGCTCCCAGGCTAGAGGTAGTAAGGCCAGATTAAAATAAAATAGGGCTCTGCCTCAGAAGACTCCACATGTAGGGCTTGGACTATAGAAGAGGGCATCAAGTATTTTTGAACTTTTAAAACAGATGTGGGGGGGGGTGAAATAGGTCTGCACAACAGTAAATATGCTCAAGTGTTTGTTCCTTAAGTAAAACTTTTTCGTACATCACCAGTGGAAAAGGTGTCCCCAGCCTTCCTGTGCACGTGCTCAGCACAGAGTCAGTGCCCAGGAAATACCTGTGGGACCCTCACCCAGAGACCTCTGCGGTTAGCCTTCCCCGTTTGGGAAAAGGTGGACCTTGGAAATGTAGTCAGCTGCTTAGAAGCACTGCGCTAGGTCACTAACTGTAACCATTTCATCCCGTGTAATCCTTCCTCTATACCACGGTCAGACAACAAAGAGTGGTCAGCAGATACCGTGGAAAAGAGGAACCAAGGTGAGCTAAGAAGAAATAGAAGAGAACTCTTAAAATACTAATTACTGTTTTAAGAGATATTTAACACATTAAATGCCTAAGTGAAATAACCGGCTCTTTGAAAGCTGGCCGGGTGGCTGGGTTGGTGAGAGCGCCATCCCGACGCACCAAGGCTGCGGGTTGGTCCCTGGTCAGTGCGCATACAAGAAGCGCACATGTTGGAACAGTAAGTCGATGTTTCCCCCCCTCTCTCATCAGTAAATAAAAATTAAAACAAAAACGAAAATGGTTGTCAGAATTAGAGGAAGGGTTGGAGAGCAAAATGGAAAGTCGCAGAATCTGAGTTCGTGATAGGAAAGATAGTCAAGGATATCTTAGAACACAGAGCAAAAACCAAAGCGATAAAAGGAAAATGGGAAGACAGATAATGTGTGAAGGACAGACAGCGAGCATCTAATCAAACATGTAGAGAAGATAGAAGAGTCTTAGGACTGGACGGGCCGTTGATAGTGGCCCGTGCGGGATGCGTCCTGGGGAAATGACTGAACTCCGTAGCTGCAGAGAAAATGTTGAACTCTTCCGGGGAGCGACAGGCTGTTGTCGAGGACTGAGAAGCAGAAGGACATCAGACTTGCTGTGGGGGATACTAAATACCAAATACCAGGCTCCGAACGCTGTGTCTAACTATGAGTATTCCCAACCTCGAATTCTCTACTCAGCCAAGTGATCATTTAACTATGACGACAAAATTAACTTTCCGGAACATGCAGACGCATGCCTTTTTAAAAGAAGAATGATAATAATAACTATAGAATATACTAAAACAGCACAAAACATAAAGCCAAGGAGTGAAGTTGGATATGTTTATCTTGATTCCTGAAGTGGTGGAACTTTAGCGTTAAAAATAATAATAGTTCGCCCGACCGGCGTGGCTCAGCAGTTGAGCATTGACCTGGGATCCAGGAGATCACGGTTTGATTCCCGGTCAGGGCACAGGCCCGGGTTGTGGGCTCGATCCCCAGTGGGGGGCATGAGGGAGGCAGCCGATCAATGACTCTCATCTTTGATGTTTCTCTCTCTCCCTCTCCTTTCGTCTCTCTGAAATCAATAAAGATATATTTTAAAATAATAATAGCTTAACAGTCTGGAGCTAGGTTCTGGGTCATATGAACAAAATGTGGCACAGATAGAAAAAGGAGAGGGGAGGCAAAATTGCCTAAAGTGATATTCTTTTTTTTTAAATTTTTTTTCAATATATCTATTGATTTCAGAGAGAGGACGGGAGAGGGAGAGAGAGAAACATCAATGATGAGAGTCATTGATCGGCTGCCTCCTGCACGCCCCCTGCTGAGGATCGAGCCCACAACCCGGGCATGTGCCCTGACCGGGAATCGAACCGGGATCGCCTGGATCCTAGGTCAACGCTCAACCGCTGAGCCACGCCCGGCCGGGCTAAAATAATGTTCTTATTCCAGGAGAGATTATGCTGATTAATTGTTAATACTGATAAAATTATATATACTTTGAAATAATTTGTTTAAAATTTAATTCTAGGTACTAGTAAGAATCACCTATAGAACTTCCAGACCCACCCAGTGGGGAGCAGGGAAGTAGAGGAACAAGGAAAATTGGATCAGTGCAGCACAAGTAATAAAGGAAAAATAACAAGAAAACACTATATAAAAAACCTAAAATAAGATGGTAGGAGTAAAACAGATCGTACCAGTGATTACAAAAAAGTAGAGGTGGAATTCTCATAAGTGCAAAATGACAGCAAAAATCTAGCTGTCTGCTCTTCGTAAATAAAACACCATAAACAAAATGGCACCAAAAATTGAAAATAGAGGAAAGATTTCACGTATGCCCGTGTTAAGATCTGATAGAGCTCGAGGTTTTTTTTAGTTTGGTTTTTCATATGCTTTTGAAGTATTTATGAATGTCCTGCCAAATTTTGTCTAGTAAGAGAGCAAATTCTTAAAACCATTTTATTACGTGTTTTTGTAAAATAATGTCCTG